GCTTTTGTTTTTATTGATGAGGGAGGGACTATTTATATTTGGCTAGTAATAGGCCTAGGAAATATTGTATAAAAACTGGATTAATTTTTATAGTTTTTTTTTTTAAGAAATGCATTTGAAGTCATAAAATAGCATTGTGTTTTGTTAAAATAATTGATGCGGCAAACAATTTTTTTGTTTTTATTCTCACATCAATATTTCAAGAATTTTCCCGGGGGGGGGGGGGAGTGATAATCCAACAATTTTATTCAGTGCCCTACATTGGCTATAGTGGGACACAGTGATAAACTATAAATATGTTGTTTAATATTTTCCAAGATAATCCTATTCTTTTTCATTGTGTCCAGTGGTTGCCAAATTGGCTATGGTGGGACACGGTGATACCACAAATACAAATGTGCGTGACGATATTTTATTGCTTTAGAAATGTGATTTAAAAATGTATATTGAATCGCGCACTGAGTATTCAATATATTTTCACGACAGATTGGGCAAAATACATATAGGCCCCCTAATTGATTCTCCTGACGCAAATCCAGGTATTGTATATCGACCTACTTGCAGTGAATTGAATCTAAAATGTATTCATGATGTTATGATGATCTGAAGTGTTTAAAAACGTACACAATAATAGTTCAACCAACTTTAATACCACAAACACAAATGTGCGTGACGATATTTTTATGCTTTAGAAATGCGATTTCAAAAAATTAGTGCATCGTATACGTAAGGGCTTGTTTTGTTGTTGTTTTTTAACTTGCAGCGTTTGGGAAATAGGTAATAGGTAAAATGTAATGAATATAATTAATAATATATAGCATCTACAACAATTATTATTGAAGGGTCCTTTCAAAGTTTAAATAGGATTTTTTTAAAGTTATATTTTTAGATCATTAGACCTATTGAACGAGCCCCCAATAGCCAAACCTGGAGGTTGTGTCTGTCTCCCCGGGCCCCAGTGCTGTGCACTGACTGCACTGTCCATACCTACGCCACTGGACCTAAGTATTATTAGTGGTTACATAACGTTTGCTATGCACTGTATCATGCGCTATAGAAGTGAAAGACCGTAATGTATTGGAAATATACCTCTCTCTCTCTGGTAGGGCCTACAGTACAATCAGTTTAAAAGTGTACTGTATAGGATAGTGGGGATTTAAACATTTTCCTAATGGTAATGTTCAAAATAAGTGTCAAGGAAAGTAAGTATGATTGTTGGAAAAAATGGTTAACAATTTATTTTGAATTCTCCCCCTGACCTTCGCCTGGGCGCAGTGGGCGAAGGTCTGGATCCGCGTCTAGTTAGCATGAATTGTGTAAGCCATGACCCATAGTATTTTGTTACGTTTGTTCACAGAGTGGGGTTCGTCCCAGCATAGGAATTTAAATTATTTTTACGTATGTAGGTGTGTCAGAAGGTGCACAAATGAATGGTGTAGTAGTGTGAGACAAGGGCGGTTTTGCCACTATTTTAAAAATGCCAATGCATATTAATGTTATAAGGCTACTCATTTATCTATTCTGGAACTGTTGTGTGCCCCCTCCCCCTTTTTTTTGGATCCGCCCCTGTGACAAGTATCAACAGTACAGTAATAATGACATCATACCAATTTTCTTCTGAAGTTCAAAACCCACTGTTTTTTTGTGGAAAGGATAACATTGAATAAGTTAGTATAATTTAAGATCATTATTTTTATGAATGTGGGTATGTTTGTTTGTTTATTTATTTATTTACTCTAAGATAGAGATGGCAGGCTAATAAAGGAAATTCCTATTCCCAATAGGATTCACTTACCATATACATTCAGAACAAATAGAACTTTATTATTTGTTAACCTAAATATCCATTAAATACGACTTGCTATACATAAGGCTATAGGCGTCTTCCCTGTCTTCCCCGGAACCGACTGGGGCTTTCTCCTGCCTCCCAGGCAAAGCTTGAGCAAATTGTTAGCTCAAAAAAAGAAATAATAGACATTTTAAAGTAATTCGTGTATAACTCGCACAGGTTGTTGTTCGCACAAGTGAATCTTCTTCCACTCGAACTAGCATCCGCTCGAAAAAAAAATTCCGCTCAAATTCGCTCGAATTGGCCTTCGCTCGAAGTGGCATCCGCTCGAATTGACTGGTTCCCAGGCTGGGACATGAAAGGTTGTTGTTTGTTGTTATTTCGCAATTCGCGACGTCATCAACGAGTACAATACATTCAATCCCGTAACATGATTGGTCTATTTTTTTCTAATTTGCATAATGAATTTTTCCAACAATTTTGTCTATTTAAAAAAAAGTGTGTAAGTTATGGAGATGGTAACAATCATAAATCGATTATAAATTTAATTATACATTTTTAGACACAAAATAAACCCTCTTGGCCCACGGCCCATTTTTTTTTGACACCATGACCATGCGTAATATTAACCTGCATTGTATATATACGAAGAATTTTTTCTAGTAGAATTAGAGTTGACTAACTGGTACTTGGTGTGGTACTAGGTTCGATTCCCACACACGAACCATTTTTTTTTTAAATTTTTTTTTTTTTTTGCTGGCGTAATTCCTAGACAGGATTGTTCATTCAATTCATATTGAAATTAGTGTTTTGATGATGATTTTTTTCTTTCATTCAATGAGAATTCATATATTTTATATGAGAAGAATCTAGGCTAATATTCAGCTTTCCGTTTACTGGATCCGCCACTGATTATTATAGCTCTGGAGTTGGAACGTGACCGAAGTCCGTTTTGGTATACCAAATATACCTCAGAATTGTCAACAATATGGTAGGCCTTTGCTGTCTTCATCTTGCTTGCTGCTGTAAATTTTTTCTTTATTTCTTAGAAACTACTGCACAGTGCTCATGTATGTGATCGTTTAAGTACTTTGTAAGCCTAGCCAAGTAGTTCTTTTAAGGTTGTTTTGAAAATGGATCTGGGCCTACCAAAATCTAGGCCTAGGCCTACGCACTCGCCCAGCTGCCCTCCTCTTCTTGCCGCCTCCGGCGAATGTTGTAAAGAAGGCTGCATCGCTTCTCTTGGTATTCCCTTGCTAGATATGATTGCAAATGTCACAGAAGCCTTCTTGAAAAGGTATTTCTTTTAATTTCTTTTGTTAGCTGTTAGCAAATCTAGAGGTAGAACAGTTTACACTATAAACCTAGGCCTATCAACAATTGTTTTCTAGCTCCATCATTTATTATTACAATTTAAAATATTTTCTTAATTTTATATTTCTCTTAATTTATTTATAAGGCACTAGGCCTAGTCTAGGGTAGGCACCTAGGGATCCAATCCTTCACTCAACATTTGCAACCTGTCTTACCTTTCCATTAAGGATACCATATTGTTTGATAGTACAGTACTTAAAATTATTGTTTTTTTAACATAATTTTTACACAGACCAGATAATGATGTGATGTTAGTCACAGGCGTCATTTCATATTTAAATGACCCTACATACATGTGTCTGTTGGGCCATTAATGATTTATAATCTTCCGTGTATTTGTGAATGATTGAATTATTGGTTAATTTATGTTCCAGATTTAGCCTGGAAGAGGACAATTCAATTCAAGCTGGTCCACAACAAGATGGAGTGTATGGGGCGCTACAGAAAGAATGTCAAGTAAGCTACAGTGCTGGGGGTTCAGCTCAAAACACCATCAGAATCGCTCAGGTCAGCTTCAGTCAAAGTTACTTATCTAAACAATAATATTTTTGCTCATGACAATCATTAAAATTTGATGCATTTTCTCAGCAACACTTCCTTTTTGAAACTGAAATAACCTGTATTAAAAGTAATAATAATAATTTATTAATAGGACCTATGTATTGCATTGGCAGACCGTCAAAGCAAGCAAGGTCTGCAGTGCATACCCTGGCAAAAACAAATTTTAAAAAAATATAGTAGTACAGTTTCTCCATTTTATTTAGCATTTCTTAGTCAGAATCTTCCATATAAACCTTAATTTTTCAAGTTGATTGCTACAGTTCATTGGAATACCAAAGTTTTTCAATGTTTGGCCTACTTTGGTATCTAGGATAAGTCACAGTCGGGCCTATCGCATCGTACTCTCAGCTGCTTAAAATTGAGTCAATGGGAGTCGGAGCATACCCTACAATGCTTAAATTTGCTATCCTAGATATGCCAATACCTAGCATACCCTGCAATTTACCCTACGGTCCGCCACTGATATATAGTTATTGCATTGCGTATTCCCTGTTTGTTATGATTGCAATAAGCCAACTATGAATGTACTGTAAATTTAATATTCTTACTTTTAAAAAATAAACTAATTTCAGAGATATATATATTTTCTTATTTTTAGCTTATGTTAAGAGTGCCAAGGGCTACAACTGTTTTTGGATGCATTGGAAAGGATCATTTTGGTGAAATATTGAAGGTCAAAGGTCAATCAGAAGGGGCAAAGGTTGTCTACCAAGAGCATGATGTGTTACCAAGTGGCAAGTGTGCAGTTTTCATTACCAAGCAAAACAGGTGCACCATTATTTTTTTGTTGTTTTTTAATGGCTGCCAAATTTGTTTATGCGATAAATTTCCTGCGACCCCTGTATATAGTTTGTAATCCATCATGATTGTTCATTTTGTTTCACCGTTTCAACAAGTGAGACGCCATGTGTCTTTTTTTTAGACGTGAAATGACAATGACACAGGGGTCCCAAGTCTCCCCCAGCTCTCAGTATTCTGCCGGAAATCGGGACTTCCACCCGCATTTCTGCAAGCAAACAAGAATCTGCCCCTGAAAATAACCCATCTCCCATGAATTCTTAATATTTGTATGTTTTCCCTTCTTTCTCATCAATGAAGTTATATGTGTCGAGAAAGCTCATTTAACCAGATCTTCCAGAAGTGACTTGAATTACAAAGTGAATGCACTAAGGTCCACCAACAAGTCACTCCTGAAAGTTAAGAAGTTCAAGAGGTCCTATGGAAGCCATGCTTGTGCTCCTTTTTTGTGGAATAGACTAGCAGCTGGCCTAAAAAGAATCTCAGTCTCAGTGGCATCCTTTAAGTCTGGACTTTAAAAAAACATTTACAGTATTAATATTAATAACCGGTCCAGTTGCGTATCTAGAAGTCTTGAAATGGGAGGGGGGTGGCTGATGGGGGAATGACAATGAAAAGGGAAGTTGATGATTAAGTAAGGTGATATGAGGTGATTTATATCTACTTGAGCATGATTATTTTGCTTCAAACATATTAAGGGTGCACCCCTGGATACTCCTCTGATATTTACAAAATTAGTTTACTTTTATGTAGCACTTTACACAGAAAATGTCTTGATATTAGTATAACATAAGTGTATTCTATATTTAAATATTTTTTCTATCTATACTATTCCCTCCATGACCTAATTGATTAATATTAATTAATTAATTAGTCTAGTGAAGATATTTTTGATATTCCTAGGTCTCTGTGTGCAGACTTCGGAGCAGCTAAGCATTACACTCTTGATCATCTTCAGAGAAATTGGAATTGCATCGAGAAAGCCAGCATTCTGTACTCGCCAGTAAGTTTACACTTCCGACAGGTCAAACTTTAGGCATGCTCTGTAAGGTTTTATGACTCAAAAAAATGTTTAATCAGACTTCGATAGAGTTGAGAATTATCCGGTTTTCGACAGACATACAAGTTTTTTGAAAGATGCTTGTGAAATTTAGAGTGGCGTTGAATGGCTTGGTTAAGATGCTTGCCTTCCAATCCCAGGGTTCTGGGTTCAGTTCCTGTCTCACGACTCAAACAACTCCACTTCCTAAGTCTCTTTATGAAACACAACTGGGCCCTGAGAGAGAACAGTAGATATCTAATGTACAGGATACCCAGTATAATGCAGAAAGAAATTTATTAAAGTTCACATTAAAAGAATTGGTCTCTAGATTGGGAAACTACAGTGGCACTTACTTCTACTACTACTACTACTACTTTATGTTAGCAAACAGGCACAACTATTTAAAAAAAAACCATAAATAGATTTCTATAAATAATAATTATAATCTATAAACATTATATCAGAAATAAGTCCATATAATATCCTAATTGTATTTTCAACCACTTTGGAAATTTTGTATTGAAAGAGCATTGTGCAGAAAAGAAAAAATAAATAAATGTTATTAAATATCATTTGTCAAATTTTTCTTTTTCAGGGATATGTTGTAGCTTCTTGTCCAGAGGCAGTGAGTGCTATAGCCCGTTTTGCATCGCAGAATGATAAATTATTTTGCCTGAATCTGTCAGCTCCCTATATATGTACCCAGTTCTCACAGTTTCTACAAAACCTTATGCCATATGTTGACATATGCTTTGGAAATTTAAAGGTAAGTGTGATATGATATACAAATAATGAATGTTTATGAGTGCAATGGGAGAATATTTTCATGAGTTGAAAGATTGACTGTTGTATTCAACAAGGCAGAGCTAGGCTAGAAATCCGTCAGCACATTTCGGAAAATATGGGCAAAATAACTAATGTCACATGGTACGTAATCAACGAATCAAATGACTGGGATCTATTTAGGTGCGTTATAAAAGTGGTTAGTGCAATGATTTAGTTTTGGACTCTCAAACCTGAGGTTCGCATTTCAATCTTCAATGTGAATTTCACTTGTGGCAATCTACTTATCCTGAATGTTTCTCCTCTCAAGAGTATTAATTGGGTACCTAGTAGATTAATTCTATGTTCAGGCCTGAATGATATGCCAACGCCGGGCGTATGTGAATCCAATTTGTAACTAGCGAGATGTCCAGACTGGGTGATTAACCTAACGCTAGCGTAAGTATTTGCGCGTAATATATAAGTTTGTAATCGTGGATATTATTTCCTGTTTTCATCGAGGCTTATTGTGATGGTTCATATCCTGACCGGGTTCAAAGTCATTGATGCATGACTGTCGTAACTCAGTGGTGTGTGCTAATCTGGTGGATTATTGTACGCCAATGATTGCGTGTTAATACTGGTGTTTGGTAAGCTGCGCACAAGTTCACTCCACTTGATTAATGTTACGCTAGCATAACTCTTTGCGTCTGAACATATCCACAAACACCATGCGCTGACTATTGTTGCAATTAACATTATAGTATGTTTCGTAGGCAAGCTAGGTACCAATTTCTTTTGGTTGTTGTGGTGTCACTTGTGAGGGTGCCTTCATATCAGCTCTTAAACAATCCGGAATGGGTCACCCTTGTTAAATATGGTTAAAATAGAAAAAAAACTCTTCCAGTGACTCGGGAAATAATATCATATGCACATAGGGGTCATGGCATGAGTGTGAATTTTAAAACTACCACTATTATTGTTAGTAAACCTGCATTGCAATGTAACCAAATTCTTCTGACCCTTGCCCCTTTTTGTACATATACTGTACCATAAGTTTTCTCCACTAATTTCATTTCGGCTGTTTTTTACAGAGGAATGTATATAGCAGCAGACTGGAACCCAAATAGTTAATTGTTCAATAATGAAAGTAGGAGCGTTGGGGATCATGGGACGCACTCAAATATCGACACTATCGTGTATAGCAGACTTCAGTTTTTGAGCATCTCTTCAGATGCACATTTAAATGATGCAGTTTGATATTGTTTTGGTTAAATTACCATTTTTCGCTCCTCAATAAGGTGTCATACCCTAAAAGGCTTATTGGTCTTCAGCCAATTGTAAGATAAGCCGCCACTGGGTATAGATTTTTAATTATATCATAGAATGAACACTTAATAAATAAGCTTATAAAATAAATATATGTCATTAGTCTGCATAAATAATTAGTCTTAAAGTGCTATTCTTGTATTTTTTTTATATTTTTTTTTTAGGAATTCTTAGCTTTTAGTGAGAATCAAGATATACAGGTGAGCAATATTGAATGAAAATAACTTTGTAATGGAAAGTATTTTTAAATATGGGGCAAAGCACTTACTGGATCTGAATGATTAATCAGTAAAACTCCTTTTGGAGCATCACACACCAATTGAGTCTCAGTCACTTGGGGTGCCAGGAAGGTGTATATTCTTGGGTATAAGAAGGCTTAAAATATATTACAATCGAAAAACAGGGTTCGTCATATATGTAACATACAAGTTTGTCTTATATGCATATCATCCATAACATGCAAATTTACTATTGAAATGAAGCTACTAAATGTTAGTATGGTCACCATGTATGCTTGACAAGCCAGAAATAAATGCCATACATGACGGTTGTGTTTTAATTTCTCAGTTTAGTTTTAATTAATGCTTTTTATATGCGGACACAATGAAATCCATGAACTTTACCAAGACTAGACATTTGATGGCGATTTGAGGGCTAAATGTAGGCTTGGTCCCATTTGATGTGAAATGGGGGTTGTTGCCTTATACGCCCAACATACAAAAATCGTCCAAAAATCTTTTCAAACTTGGGGGTCGTCTTATATGCGTATCGCCTTATACACAAGAATATACAGTAATAACTGCAAACTTGATTGATTAATTGATTCTTATATTGATTTTATCCGATTCAACTGTAAGATTCTTATTAAACTTTGTGAATTCAGTAATGTAATACATAATATTGAAATATTGAATTAAGTACGGATAACCTCACCATTGTGCAGTAGAACTTTGGGGGTAACCCCATTAAGGGGACACCCCTATTTAGAGACACATTATGCCACAAAATGAAGGAAATTAAGTCTTTTACCATTACGACCAACCCCAATTCAGGGTACACCCCTATTTAGGGGACACTTTTTTGTGGTGTCCCCTTAATAGGAGTTCTACTGTATAATAGTGTAAGGAAATGAATTAAAATCTTACATATTATTTACATTCTGTTTTCAAATAATTTTTTTCAGAAAGGCTCTGCTGCTAAACTCGCCCAAGCTATTGCCAGACTTCCAATGTTTAACTCAAGTAGAAATCGTACTGTTGTTATTACTCAGGGAGACCAACCAACAATACTAGCAACAGGTATGTGGATTAATAAGTACTGTTTTCCCATCAAAAGTGCATATTTATGAAAGTAGTTTCATGAATATTCATGACCTATAAATAAATATTCAGTAGTATTAATTATGTCTATTTATTCCAGTTTCTTTATATAGGCCTAGATGGATCATATGTACCACTTTTTTTAGAACAATCACAAATAATGGTTATTCATTATTTTTAGCCCAAAATAAATACATAATATTAGATGCAAAAGGTAGCTACTGAAACAAATGCTTTATGATCAGTTTGCTTTCACATAATAATATGGTATCTGTTTTGATTATTTTGACATATGTGACAATAATTAATAATACGACTTTATATATATACTGTATTTGACTTTCTCCTGACAAAGTAATACATTACAGAATAGATAATAATTCTGAGTGGAGTTGAATAGCTTGGTGGTTAAGATGCTTGCCTTCCAATCCCAGGGTCCTGGGTTCAATTCCTGTCAGTGTTGCAGAATTTTTTCTCACGACCATAACAACTCCACTCCCTAAGTTTCATATTGAGATTTAGTTTGTGTAAAGCATCATGTGTGTATGTTTGACTTGTGTAAGGGATTGTCACCTACAAGTAGGACAGTGATATATTCGCTATTGACAATCCCTGGCAAATGTATTGTGTGCCTAAGTAAAAAAAAAAATGATATAGTAATTTTGATTGTGGGTTAATTCCAGGTGACCTATTGAAGGAGTATCCCGTAATTGCAGTTACAAAGGAGAATATTAAAGACACATGCGGGGCTGGTGATGCATTTGTTGGAGGTAAGTTGGAATTAATAATTAAAGAGCAAAAGAAATGTGCTGTTACTCTCTGACTACAAACTTAAGTTTCTTGAAAATTAGGCGATTTATGCAGGGGATTCTAGAAGAGAATGCGATTTTATAATTAGTAAGTGTTTACATTATCTCCCTTTCTCATCCAGGTGTTTGAAACCAGCATTTTATGAATGATACAAAGAGTGTGTAAACCAAGGTATTCCTTTACATACCATCTTTATTATTGTTGAGAAGGGTTTTTGATGGATTTATTGTAAATGAGGCTCCGAAGGGAGGCGTTTATTCAAAGCGGACCATTTATTTGAATTAATATGGTAATTGAATGTAAAAATGATTTATCATTTTATAGGTTTCCTGTCTCAGGTTGTATTGGGTCAAAGTCTGGACCTGTGCATTAAATGTGGTCATTACGCTGCCAGTGTTGTCATTCAACAGACCGGCACGGTCATCCCAGACTATCAGAAATTTGTGGATGATTGGGAAATTATCAGGAGTAGTAGAGAATTGTAAGAAAAACATTCATTGTATTAATTATGGAGATGACATTCGCATTTACTTGTAAATCTAGGAGTGTGTTCAAATATTTGGCGGCACCAACCGTTGTGTCCAGAGTGACACGCAACGATCACTTTGTCGGAAAACACCGCTTTGAAGAAAAATAAAATTATTGTCAGAGAGTACCATTTCCAGGCATCTAGAGATGCCTATTTTTAAAATTCACTCCTACCTTGGATGGCTGAAATGGGTATGGTCTCTTGGATCCCTTGTTGGGCACCTTGAACCCCTTTGCCAGGGTGCCTCTGTTTAAATACCAATCTTATCAAATGTGTTCAACACTTTGAATTTGCAAATCATTTTGCTTGTATGTAATGTTTTATTAAATTATTGGTAAAAATATATTCAACAGCATGTCAAAAAGTTAACTCTATATTCAGCATATAGGGATGTAGTTACAGGGGAGTGCAGGGCCACTCAGCCTTAATTTTTTTTCCACCCAGTCTAAGGCTAACCTCATGGACCTCCATCTACCTTTATTAACCCCCTTGCCCCTTCTTAAATCCACTTTTATTATTTAGAGTTTACAAATTTTATCTCCCACCCACCATTAAAATGTCTACCACCTCATCCTTTTTTTTTCATAAGGCATACACCAACACCAGTGAACTGGACAACAATAATGAATAAAGAATATAGAAATATAAATATGTGAATAATTTTAATATAAACATTGTAAACATCTGTGTATTATTTTTATTTATTTTTATTTTTTTTTTGTAGGTGGAACTATAAACAAACTGATTCCGAAAAATCCTTACCATGAGATTGATAAAGAATGCATATGTTGAAATGGTATGTGCCATTTCTTATGATCCAGCCAGTGAATTTTTTTACAATGGGCTGTGGAAACATCATGTGAGCAGACACAGTGTGTAGGCATAGAAGTGGAGTGGTGGTGCAAATAGTAATGTGCCATTAATGGTCACATTGTGAGGTGATCACATGGTCCAGGGTGGTAGTATGGTTGTGGTGGATGCATGGTACCTGTTTACACATTCCTTGTGCTTGATTAGTAATGTGACAACATTTTACATAGGGAGCATACGAAGTCTTACAGTTACAGTAATATTCCTACAAAGTTACCATATTCTGAATTAACACTTTGCTAAAAAAAGTCAATACTATTGATAAACAGGTAAAGGTAGTCCCATATTCATTATTGAACGTAGTTGAATGAGCTGTTAGCCCATTGTACTAAGCCTCGGTATTGTGTGGTAGGGTGGCCAGTTCCTCTCCACGCCGCATTTTTTCATCCCCAATAGTGAAACACCATGTACCAATTTATACTCCTGGGTAGAGAGAGACAAACGTAGATAAAGTGCCTTGCCCAAGGACACATGCGACTTGCACAGCGAGAGTTCCGAGCCCCTGACCTCAAGGTTGGGAGTCCAAGGCACAACCGATGCACCAACCGCTTCTACAGTGGAGTAGTAAAAATATGTATACGTTTACATTGTTACATCTCGCTAGAAACTAATAAGTCCGTCACTGCAAGGTGTCAGATGTTACATGTATGTCCTGCAGGAAAATCCAAAAATTTGCTTTCTGTTTCAACTTGCTAAAACTAAACTATGCTGCCTCCCCCACCCCCTGTTATTCTTACATGGATGCAAATTTATGCTTACTAACTTCTTTCTACCACAAGATGTGTGTAACATTTTGTCTTGGTAAATCATGTTCAAGTAGAAGGTGCCTTTCTTTCCAACACAACAATCAACTTTTATGGTCATTCCAATTAATATTATTGTTTTGGATTGTATTAATTTCTGTGCAACATGATCTCTGTGATTTATAAATTACTTAAATAGTGCTCAAAACCTTTTACCTTCTTTTTTGTTATACATAAAATTAAAATGATTTATTTTTGTTATCAGTATTTATATTTTTGATATAATAGTTATTGCAGATTAAGATTAATGTTTATTATCAATATTTATTGATAACGTAGTTTCAATATTAAAATTAGAAAAAAATGGACAGGGAATTGTAACGAGTGAATTATTTGTTATAATTGTAAGTTGGGAGATATATTCAGTTTGCTGCCCACTATAACAACTCTATGTTTTGTGTGCTTGCTCTCTGCCCATGCACTCAGTTAATTACATTGCTACAACTATCTACTGTATTCTTCATACAAATGCCTGCTCTGGGTTTCTGTACTGTTTGTCATGTTTTTTAAAAATGGCGATTTTGGTGGCAGATACATGGCTGCAAAAGATGTGCTCTCCTAATACCTCCTCCTCCCCCCACCCGCCATGGCAACAGAATAAGATTCTTAACTAAATATGAAATTAAACAGGCCTGATATATAAGAAATGATCTGTTTATTTCCTTAACAGCAAATAGTAATTATACTCACCCCATTATAAAATTTAGAAAATGGAATTTCCAGTCATAAGACAAAAAAGAAACTTCCCCACAGGATTTGAACCCAGGACTATGGTTCTACAAGGCAAGAATATTTATGAATCTGAAGCTCCACAGCATATTATTATGGACTGGCCTGGTGTCACAGGGATTTTACTGAGTTCTGGGTTAATATTCTTGCCTTGTGAATTCAGCTACTTGGCTTAAATCCTTAAATTTGTTCCTTGGTAGGACCCTGAATGCAAATAAATGTTAACTTGAGAGAGAATAGGGGAAGCAGAAGCAGTTAGTGATTGTTCAAGTTAAAGGTCTAAACCAAGGAACAGTGAAATCTAAACCAACCTCCTTACTAACCCATTTACTCAATAATGTAAGTCCTACAGAGCCAGAATTGCCATTGTGTGTGTTTGTGGAGGGGGAAGGGGAGGGTGGTGGGTGCGACAGTGCAAGTATAGACTAGCTGCGGTATGAGGGTCGCCTTGAACCTCCTGCAGTATGGTCAGCTTGACCATTGTAGAGGTTCCGAGGGCCCAAATACTGGCCTAACGATAGATTACACATTAATATGTAAAAGTTTAAGATTTAAAAAATATTTATAACATAAAAAACTAATTTTACATTCAGAACATTGTGTACCATTATCGATTTTGGGTGGGGGCATCTCACCCCTAATTAAAGGGCCTGCAAGCTGCCCTATTCTCAGAAATGGTTTTCAGGGTGTCGTTTGAGAATAGAACTTCATTAAATACATCAGATGTCTACTTTGGCGAAATGGAGCAAAATATGCTAGCATTTTTCTAACAATCGAATATCATTGCACTTCACCAATAAAAAAAAAAGGAGGCTAAAATACCATGTGGTTCACTGATTGTATTTAAGATAATAAAATACCATGCACACTCTGAACAGACTGAATGTTGCAATGTTGATTTAACATTTCGTTGTTTATTAAAACATCATTAGGAATTCCTAATGATATTCTAATAAAGAACGAAATATTAATCGATATGGCCATTATGAATAAATTAAATCAAAACAAAGAATGTCTGTTTTATCAACGAATTTTTTTTCATTCAAACGTGGGAAGAACTTTACAATATCAACAATGACTTACCACGCAGTGAAGAAAATTAATTTCAAAACTCCACTGGACTCTGAATGTTATAATAGCCTTGGAATTATGAACTTTTCCAATTTAATATCAGCATTTAAGTGTCAACATAAATATTGTTCAGAAAAATTAATCACCTGTTTCAATACAATAAATATCATGTTTGTTTGAATTCAATATTAATGATTGAAAAGGGCCTACAGCTGTTTTCCGATCTAATACATACGATTAAAAGCATAAGAGCTTCAAAATTTTAACGATGTTCATTTTCGATTACAATTTGTAACTCCAGTCGGGAGCTTTTTAGTCTGGCAAAAGTAAAGGGATACTACTCGTAAATTCAGGACCTTTCTATGCGTAACCTACTTCAAACGCACGCATGTCGGGGGCCGATAAATTGATAGTTTGATTGATAATTGATCCATTCATTGTTGCAAAGGGATAGAGTAGGCCTAATAGTAATATCACTCTTTCCTTATAATGGAGTTTGATATAGAAGAAAGGGTAATGTATTTTTTTATTATGCACCCCAGCACTGAAGACATTTATGAAACATAAATTGCTGAGACTGTCCAGATGCTAATTGACCCATCGTCCTTGAGATTATGACATCTGTCATCAAGAAATGAAGAAATGTTAAACAGCTTCGCATGAATGACATTTATCTTAATCCGACCTGACATTCCAAGACGTGCAACTGTATCTATCAAATGTTTTATATATATATAT